GAATTTTTACTTTTTGCATTGAACACAATATTGAGGAGTTAGTACATAAGAATTCTTGAAATATAGGTGCTCTAAAAACGCAAATTGTCATTCCTCTTGGTACATATGTATGATAATAGAGCATTGTGGGTAAGAGCCTGGAGTGGTGCACCTGTCTGATTCATATCCTTGTCCCCATGCTTACTAGCTGGGTGACCTTGGACAAATACCTTAATCCTCTCTGTGCCTTAGTTTTCTAACCTGTAAAACAGAGATAATAATAGGACCTACTTGGAATTGTTGTGAGCTCAAAATTTACTAATTATGAGAGGTAGTAGAATAGTACCTGGCATATGGTAAGCTATATATTAGTGTTTGTTATGGGTGGTAATTATTTGTGTTTCTTTTGTAGATTGCCTGTTCCCCATTTCTCTTTTTTTTCTTTTGATTTATAAAAACATCTTTACTTTGTAGACTTTGATCCTTTTGTGTTAGAAATAGTTATTTTATCATTTGTCTTTTAGTCTTTGTTATACTTTGTCATACCAAAATATTAAAACTTTATTCTAAGTTTCTTAATATTTCTTTGATAGCTTCTAGATTTTTTATGTCATGCTTGGTAAGCGCTCCCCTTCCCAATAATTATAAAAATAGTTCTTATTTTTCCTTGTACTTTATGGTTTATTTTATTAGGTTACAATCTTTAATTTTACCTTTGATTCCCTTTTGCTTATGGTGCCAGGTAGGTGCCAACCTTTGTATATGCTTCTGAAGATTTTATATATACAGACATTTATCTTTTTTGGCTACCTGGGAGCACAGAAATTGTATAGAATCAAATCTCTGACTTGGTTCTAATAACGTGTTAGCAATTGCTGTAATGTTTATTCAAAGTTGAATATGAATTTAGAGTACATATATCCATCTCTTAGATTGAAACAGATTCTTGAGACATTCAATTTGCAAATATCAGTAACAGTAGATACTCAGATGTATGTGCTTAATAAATACCAACATTTTGCTAACTTTCTGTAAGTTGCCTTTCAGTTGGAGAAACTTAACAAATTCATGTATGTTTTTAAGTCACTTTCACTTACTGTATAACAATGTATTACATTAAGGTGGTACATTTAATTGACTGCTAATTGCATTGGCAGAGATACCATATCCCTATCTTGTAGGTCCTATACTTGACCTTCCCACATGCCCATACAGACTCCAGAAGCCATACAGCCCTGCAGAAGTGTAGGTATTGTGCCAAGATAAAACAGTTTTGGTTTTAGTGAATACCAGAAAGCTGGAATATCTCTTTTATCTGAAGATTTGGAGAAGAAAAACATTTTATTTAAAACAAAAGCATTAGTATTCAGAGAAGAATGGAGAATTTTATAATTTTTTTTTTCAACGTTTATTTATTTTTGGGACAGAGAGAGACAGAGCATGAACGGGGGAGGAGCAGAGAGGGAGGGAGACACAGAATCGGAAACAGGCTCCAGGCTCTGAGCCATCAGCCCAGAGCCTGATGCGGGGCTCGAACTCACGGACCGCGAGATCGTGACCTGGCTGAAGTCGGACGCTTAACCGACTGCGCCACCCAGGCGCCCCTATAATTTTTTTTTAATGTTTATTTATTTTAGAGAGAGAGACAGAGTACAAGCGGGGGAGGGGCAGAGAGAAAGGGAAACAGAATCCAAAGCAGGCTCCAGGCTCTAAGCTGTCACCACAGAGCCTGACACAGGGCTCGAACCCACGAGCTGTTAGCTCACGACCTGAGCTGAAGTCTGAAGCTTAACCAACGGCACCCGAAGAATTTTGTGATTTTTTAATGTTAAATTAGAAGGCTAAAAATGAGAGCCCCTTGAGGCTATGTATCCAGGCAAGCACTTCCCTTCTCAGGTATACCCACATCCACACAAACTAGTGTTCTCCTCTTTTGACCTTTGTAGGGTATGTTCATAGGAAAACTTGAGGTATACAAAGCCACTAATGGGCCTCCTTTCAATCTGCTATCATGCAGGGTACAGCCAGCACACAGCAAACTCAGCCTCAGCCAACTGCTGACTTAGAATGATTCTAACCATGGAAAAGAGCTGATATTTTGGAGTGCCCACCTGTTGGAGAGGGTCTAGTAGATGCTTTACGTTTACATTTATTCTTCCCAATAAGTTGATGAGCTAAATACACTGTTTCCTACTTTATAGCTCAGAAAATTATGGCTCACAAAGATTAGTAATTTACCAAAGTCATAACTGGCAGATCTGGGATTTAAACTCTGGTGTAATGCTACTGCACTTGATAGTTATCTCTTTCCCAGGAAATAGTTAACTGGTCATTTTGGTTTCAGAATCATTTATGTAATTTATCAAGGGGTGTGGAATATTGACAATTATTGGTCACACACATTCGTTGTGTGACTTTGGACAAGTCACTTCACCTCTAAGTGCTAATAGCTTGTGTGGTAAATTAGATTGGACTGGGTGTCTTTAAGGTTCATTGGGGTTCTTCAGAACTAAGTATTTGCCTCTTCACATTGTGCCTCTTCTTCATTAATCCTTGCACTGTTGCTTTTTTTTAAATTTCTTATATGGATTACAGCCTTTGCTTTTTTAGAATTTCAAATTTCAAGGCTTCATGATTGAATCATGAATCACTTTGCAAAAAAAACATAGTAATTTAGCTGTTTAGTGAGTGCTGCCATCTTGTGTCTACCATTTTATGAGAGAAAAAGTTAGAACTTAGAAAAATCATACTGAAGTATTTTTTGTTGTGTTTGTTTTTTGCAGGGGGAAAAAACACATTTCATATGATTTAGTGGGCCAACAACCTCAGTCAAATAGAGAGGACAATGTCATTTAGCAAACAACTTTGACATTTGCTTATGTTGCCTCCTTTTTGTTATCCCTTAGTCAGACAGTGAAATTGAGATGTGAAAACTAATGTGAATTTATATATCAGGGTTCTAAATTATTCTATTTCAAGATAGTTTTTGAAGAGCTAGTATAAGATGTGAATGGTTCTATGATGCATGGTTGGTAATACTAGCATCCTTTCTCTTGGTGCTTACACCTTACTTGTTCTGTTGTTTCACCTTAAAATTGTACTTTTCAGTTTATTAATAGACAACAAAACTATCAAAGGAAAATGGAAGAGCAATATAGGATTTTTAGAGCGATTTGTTTACTATGATGTATTCATTTGTAGCATAAATACATAAAATGAAACTGACTTTAAAAACAGATGACACTTAAAGAATTTTGGCATTTCAGATGTCTTTAAAAATAATCTTTCTACCCTTTAGACATTTACTTTTAACAGACCATGTGGGTTTCTTTGAAAATGTTAAATGACTTATTATAGCCTTTTGTTCTTTTGTGCTCTTAAAAATCTAAAGTGTGATCATTATTCAAAATTATAGTCTTCCATTAAATCCATAGAGTTGGAGCTCTGGAAGAGAACTCTTTGGAGTTAAGCATTCTTGGTTGCAATCTTAGACAAACTTTTTTTCCTTTATAAAATAAATAAATATCTCTCTTACAACACTGACCACATACTAAATTCTTGTTATGTATTAGTTCCCTAGCTTTCTTCTCCCCTCTGCTTTTACTGCTAAACTCTCTAGGTGGCCTCAGTGACTTATTTAGGCTCACAAACTAATACATGTCGAAATTAGTTGTAAGTATGCATTCTGACTTTTGTTTAAGACAAGAAACTGGTAAATTCACCAACAGTAACATTTTTAATTTCCAAATTACTATGTAGTGTTCCTCCCCTTGGCTCTTTTGTTAAAATGTTTTTTCTTATTTTAATTTTAGGCCACTGAAAGGTATGATATATTTGATTCACGACAGTCCATTTCAGCCCAGGAATCTACAGTGGTGACAAGGACATGGGACTCCTCCTGCCAGATTCCAGATGGTTCAATACACTTGACACCCTGGCTGACAACTGTGAAAAAGAACCTTGGATTACTTTATTTTATTTTTGTGGGACACCACAATCCCAATTCCATAGGACACATCAGGTAAACTGTCTTATCACTCAAGAAGAACATACCCCTTTTTCTTTTAAAATCTTACATATGAAAAGCAGGGAGCCAGAGTATTTTAAGAAATGCCCTACCCTTTAATAACCTTGTTGTTTTGAAAATAAGTCAGTTAACTCTGGTATGGAATATAATTAAGGAAGACTTTTTTTTTTTTTTTTTTTTTTTTTTTTTTTTTTTTGAGAGAGAATCCCAGGTGCTGTAAGCCCGACCTAGGTCTCAATCTCAGGAGGAACTGTGAAATCATGACCTTAACTAAAATCAAGAGTTGGACGCTTAATCAACTGAGCTATCTAGGTGCCCTAAGGAAAACTTTTTAAACTTCAGTTTAGTCTACCTCTGACTTTAGAATCTATTTCTCCCTCTTTTTTTTGTTTGTTTTTTTTGTGTGTGTGGGTTTTTTTTTTTTAACCTTTTCAGATGTGTTTATGGATTTCTGAAATTTGTTTAGGTATTTGTTTATGATTATGTGAGGTGATACATTGTGGTAACCATTTCACAATATATACGTATCATATCTTCATGTCATGCACCTTAAACTTACACATTGTTTTTTGTCAATTACATCTCGATAAAGCTAGAAAAAAAATAGAAGTTGTTTACATCAAGTTTTGTTCTACAAGGCCACATTTCTCACAGTTTCAAAAATGACAGCTGTCCCTGACACACTGCTATTTGGTATCAGCATAAAGTGTTTTCTTAAACTCACTAAAGGTATGAAATATATTGGCATCTTACGCATTTGATTTTCTGAGGAATCTGTATACTAAAATGTCTGATAATAGGTGTTGTTTGTCACTGAATCACATGTCAGGAGAGTTTTCAATGCTTGATTCATAATGCAGATTATTAATGCAGATTACCAACTGTGTTTTGTATAGAATGTTGCTGGGTTGTTTTTTTTTTTAATTATTTCCTTTTAAAAATTTGGAACTTTAGGCATCTAAATGAAGGCTATAATAGAAATATATTTTTCTTACAGGAAGATACTCCTGAAATCCTTTTTAGAAAAAAAGGTAAATCTCTATTTACCTTTATAACTACAACCATTACCTTAATATGGATCACTCCTTAATGTTTCTTAAGACCCTTTAAAAGTTGTGTGTGTGGGGCCCCTGGGTGGCTCAGTCGGTTAAGCATCTGACTTTGGCTCAGGTCATGATCTCGCGGTGAGTTCGAGCACCACGTCCTGATCTGTGCTGACAGCTCAGAGCCTGGAGCCTGCTTCACATTCTGTGTCTTTCTCTCTCTCAGGCCCTCCCCACTCATGCTCTGCCTTCTCTCTCTCTCTCTGCCCACCCCCAAAAATAAATGAACTTTAGAAAAATAATTTTAAAAAGTGGCATGTATTTCAGAATCACCTCATACCCTTACTGTAGCTCTTATCTCATTGTATACCTTTTTTAGTGTATATGTCTGCCACTATATTCTATAGTTTTTGAAAGTAGGAATTTTGCTTCTATCTTGTTTAAAGCCAACATTATTCCTGGACCATAGAAGGCATCAGTCAATATTGTATAGTAACTGAATTTAAGAGATGTTTCAAACTGAATTTAAATTTTTTTTCTTTCTTGCTAAGGCTTCAAGTTCCCTGTAGAATTCTAAAATAACCTTTGCTGATGAGGATGTCTGATACTGTTACTGTAAAAAATGAAACTGAAACAATGAAGGATTTGGAGGCAGAAGTAAAAGATAAAACCAGAGTTGAAAATCTTATCAAATCAGAAAACTATGGGAAGATTTTGGCAGAGAAGAATGAACGTTGTATTGACAACAATATTGATTTGCAGGTAAACAGGATTTTCTCTCTGACTACAAATACTAATTCTCAAGATACAATTATACTCTTTATACCAATCTCACTCTCAAAATTCTAAAAGGGTAAGTTGACCCTTTGGGATGTGTTTACTAGCTGTTTTTTGAGCTATCTGGATCAGATTGTTGAGTGTAGCTCTTTGAATTGCTTGTATCTTTGATTTGCTTTGTATTTACTTATAATTGCTTTCATTTGTATGTGTCCAATTCATTTTTTATTGGGTTTCTACCTTTTTGTACTCCTGCACCTATTAGCATCATGAGAGTTCAGGATCTAACCTAAGAACCCTTAAAGGAGAGAAGAATAAGTAAGATTGCAAACTGTAAAAGTTTTCTTGCCAAAAACAACCCTTAAGGGAAGCAGGCACCCATGACTGAGAACAGAGGTTGCTGGGAAAAACAAATTCATGTGAGGCTTTTGCTGCTACACATATATGATTTAGAATTAACTACTGAGAAGGCTTTTAATTCCAGGCATAGATGGAAATTGATGAATTGGTCAACAGATTCAAGATAGGTAAAAATTATTTCAGGTAGTACTTACAGTATTCACTTCTGAATGTTCTAGTAATGTCCCATGATTTGTGAGTCAGGAAGATGGCATAAGGGCTTGGCTTACTGAATGTTTAGTGAATTTGTTGCCTAAGGCAACAAAAGTGGTTTTTTGCCAATATTTAACTGATAGATGGACTGGCCTGGAAAGTCCAAAACTATTTCACTCACATATCTGACACCATGGTGGGAATGGCTGAGATGTCTTCTCACCTGGAACTGGGAGCATCTCCCTGTGGCCCCTTCAGCATGGCTGACCAGGGTAGTCACACTTACTATGTGATGACTCGGGTCACAGAAAGAATGTTCCAGGAGGCAACCACAGCTGCAAGCATTCTTTTGACTAGGCTTATAAGTCCCAGAATGTCTCTTCTGTCATCTTTTGATGACATATGTGAATAAAGTTAGCCCAGATTCAAGGGAGGAGCAATTAGAGTCTCCATCTCAGTAGGAAAGAAAGACCTTTAATCTACCACAGAACTTTCTTAAAATATTATTTCTAACTCATTTGTTTTAGTTTAGCCCTATGAATAAAGAATTCTAGTTTGGAGAAAATATTTTATCGTTATTCTGTCATTCTTATTACATCCTGAAGATCTCGAGGGCTACTTTTTTATAAGCATAAAGGGCTATTTTTTTAATATACTTTTCTTATAAGTAAAGAAGTTTCTTTTAAGGGTTATTTCATTCATTCAGTCAGAAACTTTGTTTATTCCCCATTATATGCCAGAAATATGTTAGAAAATGAAAGCAACTCACATAGCTATAAAAAGGCATTTAGGCCCCACTGATTAAGTATAGTCAAGTGGTAATTACCTAAGAAATTGGCAGAAATAACATACTTTTCCTAGTCATTTTTAGTAATAGCACTTTTTAAAACAAATTGCCAAGCTTGCCGTCACTACACTGTGATGGCAGCATGCCAGTATCCTGATTGAATCAGAGAAAATCTGGTAAAATTCTATTGCACTTATTATTGAAGTAGTAGAAGATTTCCTTTTAGTCCCTTTTTTATACCTAATACTCCCTCTTCCAGGTCATGCTTATAAACAAGCGATCAGTTTGGATTATTGCATTTCTTACTGTGTGTGTTGTGTTGCCCTTGGCAGTAAGCACTGTTGAATCATGGCACAGTTCATACTATAGGAATATAGGAAAATTGCATGCATTCCCCCAAACACTTACTGAAAGCCTATTCTATGCAAAGGAAATACTATAGTAAGCAAAAATGAACATGGTCTCTGACATACTCCATTCAGCATCATGACTATAAAGATTGGGAAGAGAAACAAAGAGAACATGAGAATTCATCTTATATTAATCCATGCAAGGTGTCTGGCAAGAGGCTTACAGTCAAAACAACTTACATGGAAGAGATTTAAGTAGTGGAATTTAGAAATGGAAGTAGATTAATAAATATAAAAGTTTTTTTCCTATATTTTTACCTATTATAATGTAAAAAAAAGTCAACTGTGTTAACCATCAGTAGAATAGTCTTGTTACGAAAAATCTGGCTAATATAAAATTATCTTTTAACTTACTATGGAGTTACCTTATGACATACTAGTAGACATTTCATCTTTCTTGGGTACCTTTAAGATGCTGTCTAAAGGTTTAATTTTAATAGCCACTGTATTTACTTAAATTTAGATGTGTATATCAACTTATATATGTTTCCTATTAAGAATTTTGAATAAACCAATATATTGCCTATTTCCTTGTCTATCATTCTGAATAAACTTATATCTGTTGTCTGCTTCAACCCAGTAATACTTGAAGTGACTTAGAAAAATGAAAATGTTTCCTCAAGAAGCATATATTTCATCCATTCCCAAGTCTTAATTTCCTGACCACCCCCTTAGTGCTTTATTTAGAAAAAGTCATTTTTGAATGAAGGGATGTAGTAGCTTCTATAATACTGTGAAGACATCTTACAGTTTTCTACTATGTGAAGGTGTTAAAGATAGCATTTATATAAAAAATTTTATCAAACTGGAGAGAGGACAGCAGACATTGGACATTACCTTCGATGATTACAAGTGGACTATCTCATAGAGCTCCTTAACCATTGCTTTTATATGTAATTCTGCTGGCGTGACTCTCTTTTTTAAAAATGTTAGTTGTGTTCTTCATTCAGAGTTATATTTCGGGTTATAATCTTTTATAGAAGTTTTAGAATTACTTCCTTAAGAATACTTTAGTGCTAATTTGAGCGATCTGTGTACATTAATGTCAAGAAGTTAACTTACCTACATAATTACTGTGGGGTTGGTTCTGAACTGTTGATTATGGTCCCAGATAATTGTGCAGAGTTTTTGCTGAGTAATTTTTCTACTGCCACACGCTATTCCTATTACAGATATTAAGTTGTATATTGGACTTTTTATGATTATATAGTAATTAGAAGATTGGAGTGATGAGGAGTCAAGCTTCTAAATCCAGAAAAATGTTCGACTACAACTATCTTTAATGAATGGTGGGGGAAGGGGAGAAGTGTTTGCTTTGGTTTTCTTTGTATAACTGATTAACATGCCCTCTAGTGTTCGATTTTTCTCAGGGTTAGAATTTTCAGATTAAATTTAGGGTGGACTCTTGTCTTGATTTTTTGTAGTCATTTATTTCAAATGTAAAATTAGGAATCTTGTGCTCTGCTTACTATATATTCAACTTCCCCATTCTTTTTTAATTGTATTTTTGTACAGGACAAATGCTTTGTGTAGGGGTACTCATCTGTGTACATGTGTATATAAACACAATCCAAACCTATTTTAGAGCAGATTAAACAATGATCCCTCTCCCAACAAATTATTTATTGAACAATAGGATGGCCAGTCCAGACTGTGTTGGTAACCTTTGTTGTGGAGGAAATGAGAACTGATTTTTGTTTACAACTAGATCTTTATGTGCCAAAGAGCATGAACAGCTTCTGATCTATATGAGTGAATTTACCAGACAAAATCAGTTGAAGTAGGTGCTTAGTATACTCTGTTTCTGTAGCAGGCCCTTTGATAGTCAAGACAAAATACCTACATCTTGTATCCCCAGGTGAGCTCCAATGCCTTTCTTTAAAAAAAGGGAAGATGGGGCATGGAAGAGACAAGAAAGTAATGGCAATCTAATAGGGTTATCAGAAAAACTCAAGGTACAGACCACATTGACCAACAGGAGGTTAACAGGCATTAAATTATTTAATTGATGAAACATGTAAAGAAGTTTTTGTTTAAAGGATTGAATGAGGGGCGCCTGGGTGGCTCAGTCGGTTGAGCGTCCGACTTCAGCTCAGGTCATGATCTCGCGGTCCATGAGTTCAAGCCCTGTGTTGGGCTCTGTGCTTACAGCTCAGAGCCTGGAGCCTGTTTCGGATTCTGTGTCTCCCTCTCTCTCTGACCTTCCCCCATTCATGCTCTGTCTGTCTCTGTCTCAAAATAAATGTTTAAAAAAATTTTTTTCAAATAATAAAAATAAAGGATTGAATGAAAGGCTGTCTGTGTAAAATCATACAGATCTTAACTGTTTTCCTTTTTCTCCAACAAAGATATAAAGGATGTATCTAACATACCCGGTGTATAGTGAGAGCCTAGCTAGTGGTAGGTATAATATCTAGGTAGATTCTCTCTCTATAGAATAAATATCCTATAATATTTATTATCATCAGCATGTTACTAATGATTTATTACTAATAGCACAACAACATGGCTTGTTAGAATAGTCCCTTTATTCTCACACAGCATTCTTTTTTTTAGTAGTAAAATACAAAATAAAACTTATTTCTTGACATAAGCTCCCCAGAATTGCAGTGAAGTACTCTTTGTTTCTTTGCATTAAGTTCCAGATGTGTATATTATACTTTTATTGTCTTTTATTAATATTTAATGAATTCAACTTTTTTTTTAATGTTTATTTTTGAGAGAGGCAGAGAGAGCGTGAGCAGGGGAGGGGCAGAGAGAGAGGGAGACACAGAATCCGAAGCAGGCTTCAGGCTCTGAGCTGTAAGCAGAGCCTGATGCGGGTTCAGACTCACAAACCATGAGATCATGACCTGAGCCGAAGTCGGACTCCTAACCAACTGAGCCACCCAGTTGCTCCAGTCAAATGATTTTTGAAAAGGGTGCCAATACCGTGGAGAAAGAGTCTTTTCAACAAATGGTGTTGGAACAGCTGGATATCCACATGCAAAAGAAGGAAGTTGGAGCTTTACTTAATGCCATATATAAAAATTAACACAAAATCTATGAAAGACTTAAATGCAAGAGCTAAAACTATGAAGCTCTTAAAAGAATACAGGGGGGAAACATCATGACATTGGATTTGCACTGATTTCTTAGGACACCAAGGGGATTTTTTCAGTCCCCAACCCCACCACCTCCAAGACATCTCCAGTTCCCAGGGATACCTGCTGCAATCTGCACACCCAAGACAGAAA